GTGTATGTATATATATATATATATATATATATATATATATATATATATATGTATATATGTGTGTGTGTGTGTGTCTGGGTAAATATGTATACATTTTTGGTTGTGACAACTACTAATTTATACATTAAATTAAAATAATATATATATATACATTATATATTTAAAAATATTGTGTAGAGGTATTATTAAAATGATTACAAAACACATACAATTTTATAATTTATTAATTTGATCATTTATAATCATTTGTATTTTTACATAAAAGCAATTAAAAGCTTTCTGTAAACAATTTTTTGTTGTGTTTTTATTATTATATTTACTAAATAAATATGATTTGAACTGCATAGTTTGAGCCCTGTATATATATATTGAGAGGTCGAGGTAGTTATGACCCAGGTCATCTATGGTACAACCTACTCATGAAAATATGAAAATATTGCATTTAACAATAATAACATTTCGCAGACATTTAATCTTTTATTGCACTTGAGCCGAACCCATGGCTCAGCCTGAGAACTTAATTTTGACTCTTATGGCATCATTATTGTTATTGTCAAAAAACACTAAATGTATCTGGATTTTGGCTTTTTTTTTGTGGATTTGGCTTTAGCTGCTGAACTGATGATAAATAAAGATGGCTCAGACAGCGAAAAGCTCAGAGATTTCACTGTGTTTTTGTCTTTGTGTGTCTTAAGGAGTTTCTGCAGTCTGATTAAAGCATGTCCACCCACCTCAATGTGACCTCAGTATGAAAGAAGAGATGAGAGGGAGACCGTAAAAATCAAACATTACACCATAAATATTTAACACTAAACCTACAAAAGATCCAGATCTTACAGCCTGAGCATCTCATAGACTTTGAGGGTACTTTGTACGTTACATGGTGATTACTGTGTTTTTCATCATAGATTTATATTTAATTTCAACCTCAATTCAGTTACCGAAAACAGCTTTATTTCAGTTACCGGAAAAATATATATAACTTTGATAGGAAAGTATGAAGCATCCAACCACAGTTTCTTCCTTTACAGGAATAGCTCACCCAAAAAATTATTTACCATCATATAGTTTTAAACCCGTGTGACTTTGTTTCAACACAAAATGATACAGAAACATCATAAAAGCGTTTGAAACCTCATCAGTAACTTGATGCTATCATGCTTTGTGTTCTTGTTTGTCAGAGTCGTACAGTTTAAAAAGCTTGAAGGTAGAAATCCCCGTCTGCTCGTGGCCAAAATGGGACAGGATGGTCATGATAGAGGAGCAAAGGTCATCGCCACTGGATTCGCAGACCTTGGGTTTGATGTGGATGTCGGCCCGCTTTTCCAGGTATGAAAGACACTGTCATTGTGATGGTGCATCTATACTTTCCTCTTTCTGTTTAAAAGATTTTGGTTAAAAATATCTCTTTTGAAAGTCATCCACGTGTTAAAGATGCTCAAGAAATCAGCTCATGGAGCTCAACTTTTCTCAATCGTATTTATCTCACACATTTTAGCGTCCAATGTTCCTTTAAGAGCAGAGTCTATCATCAACTAAGAGATCCTTTCTGAGCCATAGACATCAAAACATTGAATCCATGACTGAGCAGATCAGATGCATACCTCGGAGTTAAGCTCCCACTTCTCCACAGTTTTCAAAATAAGAATAATCCGGTTCTCTCATTTGTGCTCCATGAATGCTCAGCGCCATCCTGAACAAAACTGTTTCCACATCAGGTTATCAGGTATAAACTGAAAAAAAGTGTCTCTCAGACCCCAAACATAGTGTGAGGGTTAATATACGCTACTGTAGCGTCTCGACATTTTTGCCCATTTAAAGACAATAAATGTTTGGAAGAGGGTCTAGGTGTAATACAATTGAAAAATGTCACAAGCCAGATTCAAACCTGCATTGCTTGCATGAGCACTATAACTCAACACCTAAGTCACAGTTCCAACCTTCTCCTCTAGGTAAATAGCTACTGAAAAGGAATAGGGATATAGAAATGACAACTGGCCACTTTCTGTAATCATATCGGTTACCAGATCTGCATGGATTAGGAAAAAAAAATCAGCTGGATACATAGTGAAGCAGTATTCCTGAATAACAAATTTAAAACATATTTAAAAGTGTGTAATTTCTGAGCCACCAAACTGAATCCGACTGCATGCCATTGGTTGAGCCAAAGTTATATGTTAGGAGGTTGGGATGCTCAAAAAACAGAGCAGAGTTTTGATAGTGCCACAGGGAATCAACCTACAAATGGCTTATTTACAGTCTATTCACATTAAGATTGGATAGGAGTAAGGATTTTGGCATACTGAAAATTACACACATCACCTTTAAAAATCCAGATTTAATCAACTGTTTTTTTTATTTTATACAATCGCCAGTTTATTGCATGATGCAACCGTCTAAACCCCCAAACTCCCTTCGAATGTCACTATGGTCTGTGGTTACAATGATGGTGTAAGTCTAGCAATAATCTAGCTTTAAGAACAGACTGGCAAGAGGTGTGGAAGAAAGTGAGAATATGATCAGTAAGAGAAAGAGACAGAGAGAGATAGAGAGCAGTAGTTTGTTTTACCCTGCTTTTTCTGAGAGTCCCGCCACTGAAGAACAGAGAAGATTCATTCCTGAAGGTGGCGTGAGTGAGCGAATCACTGGGCCTGATACAATGACACATCAGTGCACAATGTAATGCATTGAGATTAAGGACCTCATAATAATAATAATCTTCCCAGGTTGATGAAATGACACTAGACTGTTGCACCAACAGTAAACACCAGAAATCAAACTCAAAGAGAAAGTAATTCATACAAATATTACTGAAGTTTTCATAACACCATGTTTTTTTTTCCATAGTCCAGATATTTTTTATCAACTCGGCATTTCCACACATGTAAGAAACCAGGCAGGCTCAGAGAGTATATACTGCAATATCAGACAGTGAGGTTAGAGAGAGAGATAGAGGATATATTTACAGCACACTGAGTAAAAATGATGCTATATAATCATATATATATGTATTTATCAATTTATTTCGGGGGTCCCACATAATGGTTGCAGGGGCTGCTGTTTTTGCCTGGTTATTCTGTGTGTGTGTGTGTGTGTGTATGATAGTGTAACACTGAGGTGGTGTGTGTGTGTGTGTGTGTGTGTGTATCTGTCAGTGATATTGCAGGGTTGCATGGTTTAAATTAAATTTTAAGAATTTAAGACACTTTATGTTCGGTGTGTGTTTGCATGCATGCCTGTTATGAGTCTGTGTCTTTCGATGGTTTTGGGAGCAGACCATGTGTCCTGAAAGTTCATGCATGCACATATCACTGTGCAACATGTGCCAGAGTACATCTGGACCGATTGAAAGGAATCATGGGAGACGAGGAAAGTGTGGTCACTGTCATATTGCCTCTTTTTATTATTTATGTCTCATCAAGTGTGTTTGCTCACGTGTCATTATGGTAATGGAGAAATAGTATGTGTGTGTGTGTGTGTGTGTGTGAAAATGAGCCCACGTGCCAGTGCGTAACTCTCACTTCCCTGTCCTGTGTGTCGAAGCTTATTTGAGGTCCTTCAGTTCGAACAGGTCAACACTTGTTTTTGTTTTTTTTCCTCACATATTTCCTCTCTCTCTGCCATCCCCGTTTTTCCCCGTCAGGCTGAGTGAACTGAAGCGTGTGAAGGAAGAGGGAGCGGAGGGATGGATCTCTAAATGAAGTACTCTTTCTTGTCATCCACCCCAGAGTGGCCACCCTCAGCGTTAATGATGGCCGTGTCTGCATCCGGAGCATCATCGGAACCTTTCGCTTCATGAGTCAGGTACGTACCTGAGAGAGAGAGAGAGACAGAGAGAGTGAAACCACAGCTGCTATTTGTATATCATCGTCATTAATTGTATATCTTCAGTAATTTGTTGAATGCTTATTTTATATTAATGCACATTATTTTTTTTAAATTCAGCTTTGCCATCAAAGGAATAAAATATATTTTAAAAGATATTCAAATAGAAAACAGTTTGTTTAAATGAATAATATTATTATACAATAATATTTCACAATATTACTGTTTTACAGTATTTTTTATCAAATAAATGCAGCCTTAGTGGGCATAAGAGATTTTTCCAAAAACAAAAAATCAATTAAATAAACAGCTTCTAACTAAAAGTTTTATTTTATTTGAAATATTTTTATTTTATTTTACTTATTTTATTATTAAAATAAAATCATATTATTGATGTTAGAAAACAGAACGTAAGAAAGAAATTCTTAAGGAATTGGGCTTTCTCTCTTTTCTGTCAATATTGTAGCTTAATTAACTTTAAAGGTATCGTTCACCCAAAAATGACAATTTTGTCATCATTTACTCACCCTCAAGTTGTTTCAAACTGTATGAGTTTCTTTCTTCTGTTGAAGACAAAGAAAGATACTTTGAAGAATGTTTGAAGTTGCTGGTAGCCATTGACTTCCATAGTACTGAAAACAAATACTATGGAAATCAATGGCTACCAGCAACTGTTACCAACATTTTTTCAAAATATCTTCTTTTGTGTTCAGCAGAAGAAAGGAATTCATACACGTTTGGAACAACATGAGGGTGAGTAAATTTTGGCAAAATTTTCATTTTTGGGTGAACTGTCTTTAAAAAAGTAATATAGTATATTAGCCTGCATCTACACATTAAGATCTAATATTTTCACATACCTGATTATTTCTCACCCTTTTCACTAGACCTAACTGACTGTGTTTACATTAATACCTCACCAAAGAGTACATACAGTATGATTTTTCAGTGCACAGCTGCATTAAATTCTTGTTCAGCATTTTATTCCTGGCTCTGAAACCAGTTTTCCCCAGATGTATAGTTTCTGACAGCTTTTCTTGAGCTGTATGCTGTAAGTCATAGATAGATAAAGCGGGAAAGCTGCAGCGCAGCTGTGACGATCTGTTTACAGTGTCCCTCTGTGCAGTGACACAGTCTCAGTCTTTGTCAATTGCTGCTTGCACTCTGCAAAATAGCTGTTTTTAAGGGGACATAAGATGGGATAGAATTGCTCTTGCATTTCTGAAATAAAAGAAACTGATGTACTATGCAGACATCAAAATGTCAGAACTCCTTCCCCAGTCCACCTAGTCTACTAAACTATAAAAACAGCTTATTCAGTGTGTGTCACAGTTATGATGACAGAATTACCAGTACTTGAGTTAAGGTGTAACATTCAAGTAATGTATACAGTATTTTTATTTATTTATGTATTTTATAACTTTGCTGTTATAATGAAAATCAACAGTCTTTGGGGTTTTTTGTAGGCTGGGTAAAAGAATAAACAGAAAATGCAACATTTTGTCAACACTGTTACATTTGACCAACACCGTGACTGTGATTCCGGTGTTATTACATTTGTTCTGCACTGAAAAGTAAGAGGTGGGTAAGAGACTCACACACTTTCAAATGCACAAGTACCTACAGTAATGTGGTACTTTCCATAAAACGTAATGATGCAACTTAAGTTTTATTAGTGGTAACACAATAACATAACATGTTACAATGTACTAAAATTACCTAAAATTACTATAAGCACATTAACATACTTCCCATACTACCCACACAGCAAGACATACAATTAATTTGCTTATAGGTATCTTGAAAATACAGTAGCAAATACAATTCCAAAGGCAAGAAAATTAAGAAGTGTAGAATATGAAAAAAATCACTATTAGATATTGATCATATATTTATTCTAAGCACTTGATATGCATTCATAAAATATCAAAGAAATGCAACACAGCATGTGCCCGTACTTTATTCTCTCACCCTCAGCATTTTCATTTCATTTTGTTCCCCAGCCCATTTTTCTTGTGTTTTTTTCTAGGTGCACCGTTGCAGTGAGACACATGGTTCATTTACAAGTATAATGTCCCAGCAAACAATGAGATTTTGAGTCAAGCATCTAGAATGTTTGTTGATGCTTAAATTCAAGACAAAATCTATAAAAAAATTATTTAAAAAAAAAAAGCTGCTGATGGGGCAGGATGCTGCCTGACCCTCTGTCAGGAATTTGAACACAGTCCCGGAAGGTTATAAGCCCTCCAGACACCCCAAGTGTATGTGTGTGTGTGTGTGTGTGTGTGTGTGTGAGATCTCTTTGTGTCTGATTAGGTCTGTGCGTATGTGTGTGTGTGAAAGAGAGCGAGGGATTTCTTTGTGTCTGATTAGGGTCGTGTGTCAGTGTGTGGTACCTTTGTGTCTGATGAGGTATCTGCCGAGGACGATGAGGAGACAAAGCATGATGAAGACAATGACAGCAACTACTCCACCAATCACAGCATGGTCTACTCCTGAAGAGGTGGACATCGCTGTAGGGTCTGAGAAACGGACAGAGAGACAGGTAGATAGTCAAAGCTGTGCAGAGAGGACAATCAGAATGACAACAGATGTCTTAACAATACTGACCAGGCAAAATCAGAGAAAAGTTTGAGAGAGACTTCAGCTGAAACTCAAAAGACTGAAAAAAATACCATACTTATTCATCCACACCTCGTCTCTACAAACACAGCAGAGGTCATTCATGTTATGTATAGTAACGTTGGAAATCCTCACAATCTGATTTTGATTCAGGGAATCACAATGCGATAACAAACAATACATTTTCTCTATAGTTGAGTTTCCATAATTGATTCTGCTATTTTCCTGTTTATCTCTTGAGAAGCTGCTTTGACACAATCTGTATTGTATAAAGCGCTGTAGAAATAACGGTGACCTGACTTGACAAATCAGTCCTCTAAGCAATGGCATTAAGCTGCACATATTTTAGTAAAAAAATCATCCTTTTCGAAGTACACGGAGACTGTACAATAGATGGAAACGTGCGATATGAATTCGAAATGACATGAATCACTGATGAAAATTCGTGCTAAAACTATTCAGGTTTATTCAGGTCAAATTTTCATCTGGTTTTGTGAAAAGTTTGCATACCTGAATAAAAGTGAATCACGATTATTCACAACCACCTGCTCAGACAAAAATACACCTGATAATACACATGCTTTTTCCATAAACAGCATTATTATTTCAAATTATATTACTATAAATGTAAAATCCTTTTTTCCCCGATTGCAGATACGCTTGAGAAAGTATTACAATGCGTGAATCTTTTTTTCCAGCCCTAATGCACAATAATGCTTATCTTAGGAAACAATTTGAAGCAATATATCCTCTTTAATAGGGCTCTTGACATTTTCAAGCAAACCAAACTAAAATATTTCACACAAGATGATAATCACAGATAGCTTTTTCCCCATTTAAATATAGAGAAAAGAAGCACAGCACTTGTTTCCTGTTACTTCACAAAAATTGTGAAATATTATTACAATTTAAAATAACAGTTTTTTATTTTAATATATTGTAAAATGTAATTTATTCCTGTGATGCAAAGCTGAATTTTCAGCATCATTACTCCAGTCTTCAGTGTCACACAATCCTTCAGAAATCATTTTAATATGCTGATTTCATGCTCGAGAAACATTTATTATTATTATCAATGTTGACAGTTGTACTGCTTAATATTTTTGTGGAAACTGTGATACATTGTTTTTTATTCTTTGTTGAATATACATTAAAAAAAAAAAAACAGCATTTATTTGAAACAGAAATCTTTTGTAACATTATAAATGTCTTTATTGTCACTTGTTCTGCATCCCTGCTGAATAGTAATAATTTCTTCAAAATAAAATCTTACTGACCTCTAACTTTTGAATGGTAGTAGTTCATATAATGTGTGAAGTGTATTTGTAATGGGCTGGCAAGTTACTACAATGTCATTTTCCATCTACCGTGAAGTCCCACGAGCCGCTGACCTCTCTGTTTGAAAGGAAACACATGAATAATCAAAAGCAAGATTTCAGCGAAGAGTCTATCATAAGCTTCAGTGACTTTGCCTGGACTCAGAGAGCGTGAACGACATCCATCACTCCCACCCACAGCACGATCTCTGTCTCCTTCTCAAACAATACTCCATCAAAACAAGACAAGTTAACAGTCACCCTGACACTCGCACGCTTCAGGAGAAGAAAAAAACTGGGAGCGATAGATGAGAGCAGAGAGGATGAAGGAGGACGAACAGAGTGAGTGCTGAGTGACACGACAAGAAGCCCTGAGAGCGAGAGAGAAAAAAAGGAAAAAGAAAGAAACAGAGAAGGAAAGTGAAAGAGAAAAAAGAAAAGAAAAAACACAGAAAGAGTACAGGAAAAAGTAATAATGTTTCTTTTACAGGAGTCATTTCAGTTAAACAGGACTAAAATAATAATTTGAAAAATAAATAATCTTTAAAATAATGATAATCAAATAATCAAATAATCATTGGCTGATATTAAAATACATCAGTTTTCAGTGCTATAGGGCTAATGTCAATTTAGGCATCACAACATTATAATGTATGGTATGAAAATCTTCTTAGTTATTTATGTTGAGATTTGGTAAAGATTACATTTAACAGTGTTATTAAATCATTTTATAAGAATAACTTTAAGTGAGTGATGGGGAAATCAAAGGGAGTCTAAACACACTGGCAAACATCACATTAAATTAGGCCTTTTTTCAAGGCTTTATAGCTATTTTTGTCGAGGACCCAAGCTTTGACGTCAAAGTTCAGTGAATTTCATTGATGTTGTTTGAACTCAAGAATACACCAACAAATCATACTCAAGTCCCTTTTTGAAAATGGCTATCCAGATACGGTTCATGTAGACTCACTGATGTGCTATTGATGATGATTTGCTTCCGATTCACTTGTCATTGCTGTTTTTCTCTGCAGAAATGGTCCTTAGTGAGCATTTTTCGCATCTTTTTCAGTGCATTAAATAGTGAATTAGTTTAGATAATAAAATGTTAATAAAAAACTGAAGGAACAATTTTTTCACTATGTGGCGCCTTCTCTTTCCAAGTCGTTAGTTAGCTATAATGATAAAGAGCTGCTGTTAGTACTCATGGCAGAGAGAAGAGGGTGTTTGCAACCTTGTAGCCTGGAAAAAAATCATGTCAACTTGAGTCATATTTGTCTTGCAAGTATATCATATAACGACTCTGACGTGGGGTCTACAGTATATGAATTTTATGATGGCAAAATGAATATGTAATGCTGAAAATAAAAAAACTTCTTTTATAAATTGCCCGTTTTTCTTGGCAATCTCCAAATATAACTTTTACAGCATAATGCTGAAGATTAGCACCAAGGTAATCGAGTTATTATGTGATAAACAGTTTGATTCGATACAAAAATAGTTTATTCAGGCTATTAAGGCATGTCCTCCTTTGACTTCCATACAAATAGAACAGCCTCTGGCCCCCCGTTGGGATCCCACGGTGTTGCACATTTTGAATAGAGATTGTAGTCCCCCCTGGAGGAGGGTCTCTGCATGATGCTCTCGTGTTGATGATGCAAATGCACTATGGTTTAAATTAGCACAATGTGGAAAAAGACCCGTAAGGAGGGGACAGAATCGAACTTGCAGCGTGTAAAGTGACAGAAATCGGCACCCCTTATCAGTCAGGCTCTGCAAATGACCAGAATGATAAAGGGGGAAGATGCATTTCCAGGTTCAAATGATTCACTGCTGATGACTTAGTTTTGCTTGTTCCACCAGGCTACAGATGGCTGGACCTCCCTATAGCAAAAACTGAGTTGCATCAATAATATCTCATTCATTCTTTTAAGCGAGATTGTTTTCAAATTGGCTGAAACTGCAGTTTTTGGCATCAACCTAATTCAGTTCTAAGCTTTCAATGAACCAACAAATTTGCACTGATATTAATAGTTTTCCATGTAATATCAAATGTTTTGCCTTCATTAACAGCGGTCCTGCACCATTAACTATGTTCATAATGACAGTGTAATTCAACAGAGTTGTAGCTAAAAAAAACACCCAGATCCATCATAAATTGAGACTAACAGAAGAGAGATAGAAGAGAAAGAGAGGGACAGAGATTCATTTAAAGATCCAAAAAGAAAGACAGGACGATATTGAAAGAAAAAAGGAGGAAAAGAAAGAAGAGAGAAAGATAGAGAGAGAGGTGACAATACCTGCAGCATTCACTCCGGCTTCTTCTCAAGAGGATGAAGGGATGAATGGATGAGTGGATGGATGAGTGGATGGATGGATGGATGAGGACCACATGAGTGGAAGCACGAGAAAAGGAACAAAGAGAAACAATGAAAAAATGTGCGCGAGCGTGCGTGTGCGTGCATCTGAGTGCGCTCACTGAACACTACCAAAAAATAAGTATCGCGGAAGAGTATTAAAGAGGATTTTACGAAGAGAAATAATGAAATAACTGAAGCGAATGTTTTCTGGAGGGAAGGTGTGGTGTCAGATTGTGTTTCTGGATAATCAGAGGCTTTGCTGTGAGATGTGCCTGGTTAAATCCTGCATTACAGTCAAAGCCGACAGCAGATGCTCCTCAACATGCTTCTGCGATACTGCACTGGAGATCTCAATATACATCTCTATCTTTCTCACACGCACAAACACAACCTGCTCGATTATGAAGTGACACATTCAAGCTGTTCCACCCACACACCAGGGATGGGCATTTCAGCCGTTTTGTCTACACAGGTACGCAAAAGATGAATCAAGCAAGTTCTCAAGAGCTTTGGAGGAGGGGGGAGGGGTCTACACATCTGTGTGTTTTGTTTTTTTTTGTACGCTTTTAGACATAAATATGACACGCATTAGAAGAAACCGTTCTAATAATGGAAATTCTGTCATCATTTACTTACCCCCATGTCGTTCCAAATCTGTATGACTTTCTTCTGTGGAACAATAAAGGGTAAATTTTTGAAGAATATTCTCTATGTGAATGAGGACTGTGAGGAGTTAAAGAATGGAGCTTTTAACTACATCAAACTAAAATATCCAACTCAAAAGAAGAATGATTGATTCATACTATAAATCGAACAGTGTTATCTCTCATGAAGAAAAGCTACGTTGTATTCTCAATAAATAGTGATTAAAAATGATCATATGCTTCAGAAGATACTGTAGATATAGTCAATTTTTGTCATTAATGGAGCTTGACAGCCGCAATTCTCATTCACATTTACTATATTCACCTAAATGTTCACCTTTTCTGTTCCATGAAAGACATAGGTCATACAGGTTTGGATCAACATGAGTAAATAGTAAATTTTCATTCTTCTGTGAACCATCCCTTTAACTGCACACACTCAAAATTGATGTCCTTAAGGTCATGATCATACAGTGTTAGTGAAAAAACTAAGCATTGGCAAAACATACACTTTCATTCAAAAGTTTGGGGTCAGTAAGATTTTTTTAGGTTTTTGACAGAAGTCTCTTCTGCTCACCAAAGCTGCATTTATTTGATCAAAAATAGAGTAAAAAAAATTGGTATCAAAGTTTAAAGTAACAGTTTTCTATTTTAATATATTTTAAAATATTATTTATTCCTGTGATGGCAAAGCTGAATTTTCAGCATCCATTATTCCAGTTCTGATAATATGCTTCAATAAGCTGATTTTTAAGAAACATTATTATTAAAAACATTTATTATTAAGAAGCATTTATTTTTAAAACAGTGTGGAAACCGTGATAAATTTTTTTTAGGATTGTTGTCTTGAGTAGACAAAGTCTTTACTGTCACTGTCAATTTAATGCATACTTACTGAATAAAAGTACTAGTTTCTTTAAAAAAAGTACTGACCTCAAACGTTTGCATGGTAGTTTTATTATATTAACAGTTTTTTTAAATTATATTAAATATTTTTATATTAAATATATAATGCCAAAATAAATAAATAACTAAATTTCAAAATAACCCCTTTTATCTGATCTGTGCATGGTGCATGATTTTTTTCAGTGTGAAATGTTTTGAAGTTTAAAAGTCAAGGCAATTATTGTGTTGTCATGGTTGATCATTGCGGTCTCTTCTCCGAGCGCTCGGGTAATCATGCCCATCCCTATCCCCCACACACACACACACACACACACACACACACACACACACACACACACACACACAGATCAGTAGCACAGCAGTGGCATGTTAAACCATGATTAGGTTTGTGTATGTGCACAATGGATTACCTGTAAAGGTGTGCACTCCATTCAGCTGAGGAACAGATGATGGAGTGGCAGGGGAGGAGGAGGGGGGTGAGGGAGGGGTGCGAGCAGGAACGGAGGAGGGCAGAAGAGTGAGATCAGGGAAGAGAGCGTTGGAAAGAGATGTTGTGGGAACTTCAGGAGAGGGAGGGAATGTGGAAGGAGCAGAAGTGAAAGGAGGGAGAGTGGAGGAGAAGGTAAGAGTGGATGTGGGGAAGGTAGTGGAAGATGACGAAAATGGAGGAAGAGTTGTGTCTTCAGCAGATGTTGAAACTGAAGTTTCAGAAGAATCAGTGGGAAAAGCAGAGGATGAAGGGAAAGTAGAGGTGAGAATAAAGAGGTCTGAATCTTCCTGGTCTTGGAAGATGAAGGAAATGAAGAAAAAAGATCGACAACAGAAAATGACGGATGGAGAGGTGGATGATGGATGGGAAGGAAAACGGAAGAGGAAATAAAGAACACGTCATGCAACAAGAGAAACAAAAAGAAAGGAACGTAAAATTAAGAAAAAAGAGACGTGAAAGTAAACGTAAAACAGCAGAAGAAATAAACAATGACGAAAACACCCATTCTCTCCACTCCTCGTTTGTCTCTCTTTAATTACCTTGTACCAGAAGGGTGTGCGTTATGTCCCCCATGCCGATCCCGTTATCAGCCTGGCACTCATAAACACCATTATCCGACTTGTTGAGGGATTCGAAGCGCAGGAACGCACCATCCACCTTTGCCAGCGGGGGGAGCTCTGCGTCTTTTCTCCGCCACACAAACGCAGTCGGCCTTAGAGAGTGAGATATTACATTACAAAACGGACCACATATACAGCGTTTTGAAATTTCACATCAAAAGCAAAGCAGAAAGACTCGTTTAATTGAGCAGATTGAAGGGTTTTGCAATTTGGCACACTATCAAAAGAGCTGAGGAGCACAGAGGGATGCGCTGGAAAGCGTCCCGAACACAGCGAAGCTCAGTCACATGTCAAGTGAAACGAACCAGACTTGATCAAATGGGAAAGTAAACCATGTGGCCAAACCACCAGTGCTGCGACACACCTGACCCGGAGGCTCTTATGAATCAACCAGACAACAAAACGTCCAGAAATAGCTGCTATCATTCAATACAATCAGGAATAAAAGTGAATTTCTGGGTGTGGGCTACTACAACCCTGTTGAAAAAACCAGCATATGCTGGTTAGGTATGTTTTGACGCTGGGACGCTGGTTTAATCTGGTCCTTTGCTGGTTTATGCTGGCCCTTTTGCTGGTTTATGCTGGTCATGTGCTGGTAAAGGACCAGCAAAGGACCAGTTTAAACCAGCAAAGGACCAGCATAAACCAGCAAAGGACCAGATTAAACCAGCGTCCCAGCGTCAAAACATACCTAACCAGCATATGCTGGTTTTTTCAACAGGGAAGCTTGGTGGGATTTGGGACAGGGCCAATGATTGTGTTCAAAGAGATTTCCTAAACACTCTCTCTGTTTTTAATTGGTTAACCAAACTGATAGCCCTACCCCTCCTTAAAATCCTGCCATTTGGTTGAGCCAGTGTTGCTGTGTAGTGCTGATCTGATACTCAAATGAACAGAGAAATGTTTTGATAGTGCCACAGTGTTCTCACTTCCTGAGGACGTCTACCTACTGCTGGGATAAAAGAAGGTATTTTAGCATCAAAAAATTACACACTTCACCTTTAAAACCCTCTCAATATGCCAAAGTAACTGTGGCTTTTCTCTGTGTGCTCATACCGTGTCCAAATCAGCGTGTCTGTGTGCGTTACAGGGATTTAGAGAACCACTCTAATAATAATCCAAATAATATAATTCCTTTATTGATGTTGATAGAGCGGTGTAGTTATGACTAAACTAATATCTCTGTCTACTTGCAATACAGTAAGACAGGAGTTTCACATAGAGACGGGCTTATATATGATAGTGACACAAAGAACTGTTTTATTTTTTAATATTTAAAATGTAATTTATTCCTTTGATGGCAAAATTTTCAGCAGCCATTACTCAAGTCTTCAGTGTCACACGATTCTTCAGAAATCATTCTAATATGATGATTTGGTGCTCAAGAAACATTTATTATTATCAGTGTTGAAAACAGTTGTGCTGATTAATATTTTTGCGGATGGTTTGATGAATAGAAAGTTCAAAAGAACAGCATTTATTTGAAATCGAAATCCTTTGTAACACTTTAAATGTTTTTACTGTCACTTTTGATCAATTTAATCCGTCCTTCCTAAATAAAAGCATTAATTTCTTTAAAAAAAAACAAAAATCGTACTGACACCAAAAGTTTAATAATTCAAGTGCAGCAAAAAATCTAAAGATCATTAAAGACCCTGTAAATGCCGCCTCTGATACTACAGGTATCTTCTTCATATACGGCCCCCTATTTGTGCTCCCGTTCCAGTAAGGAAGAGATAGAGTGTAAAAGCAAATGAGAAAATGCGACAGAGAGACTATGGGATGTCTAAATGGGGTTGAATAGCCCTGGTGTGGTACTAATGGATGTCAGGAGCAATAATGAGCTGTAATGCGATCCTGCACCAATAGAGGGAGATATTCAATAACAATATCGTCTATTTCCAGGGAGAAATATTTATGTGATATAACCAGGCTTAAGTAGCTAAAAATGTAATAAATACATCTGAAATAATAACATTTCATCCTTTAGCTCCAGAAAGGGAGTTGCTGAACTCACTGAGATCATAGACGGTGTTTTTTTAAAACAAGCCTATGTAAGGACGTCTCCGATCCCTCTCTCTGTCGTTTCTCATGTAACATCAACACAAATATCTCGGTGATACTGTCAAACCAAACCCTGCATGTGTGTGTGTGTGTTGAAGAGAGAAAGGAGATCAATAGGCTAACCATTTTCAGCTTCATACATAAAACATGAATGTCAAGGATGGAAATGAGAGAGAGAGAGAGTGTGTGTCTTACTCTGGATTTCCGTTCCCCACACACTGCAGGAAAAACTTCTCTCCTTCTCTGGGCAGGTCACTCTCTGGCTGAATCGACATGCTTGGAGAAACTGAGAGACACACAAACAGACATTTTGTTTTTGTTATCTTCATGTTAATGTATTACACAGAAGGGGTAGGCGGTATGACCAAAGCCTAAAATCACAGTATGGCTAATATTATAATCACAGAAACTGTGCTAAAAATGTAAGATTATAAAAAAAACGCGCGCGCACATACACACATAGACGGTGATACATACATACATACATATATACATACATATATATATATATTTATATATATACTGTATGTATATGTAAGTAAACACACACACACATACATACAAACATATATACATATATGTATGCACACATTTTCACCGGTTCAATCTTATAATCACCAGCACAAATTGTGCTGGAAATTCAACTGCTCGTTAACTCAAATCTAATCAGCCCATCGCATGGCAGCTACTCAATGCATTTAGGCATGTAGGCATGGTCAAGACAGTCTGCTGAAGCTCAAACAGAGTATCAGAATGGGGAAGAAAGGTAATTTAAGTGACTTTGAATGTGTCATGGTTGTTGGTGCCAGATGGACTGGTCTGAGTATTTCAGAAACTGCTGATCTGCTGGGATTTTCACACACAACCATCTATAGAGATGATAGAGAATGGTCTGAAAAAGAGAAAATATCCAGTGAGCAGTTCTGTGGGCGAAAATGCCTTGTTGATGCCAGATGTCAGAGGAGACTGGCCAGACTGGTTGAACTAATAGAAAGGCAGCAATAACTCAAGTTAACCACTCGTTACAACCAAGGAATGCAGAAGAGCATGTCTGAAGGCACATGTCGAACCTTGAAGCAGATGGGCTATAGCAGCAGAAGACCACACCGGGTGCCACTCTTGTCAGCTAAGAACAGGAAATTGAGGCTACAATTCACACAGGTTCTCTAAAATTGGACAACAGAAGACTGGAAAAAGGTTGCTTGGTGTGACAAGTCTCCATTTCTGCTGTGACATTCAGATGGTAGAGTCAGAATTTGGCGTAAACAACATGAAAGCATGGATCCTTCCTGCATTGTATGAACGGTTCAGGCTGCTGCTGGTGGTGTAATGGTGTGGAGGACATTTTCTTGGCACATTTTGTGCTCTTTATTACCAACTAATAATCGTTTAAAGCCACAGTCTACCTGAGTAATGTTGCTGACCCTGTTCATGATCACAAGTGTACCTATCGTATGATGGCTACTTCCAGCAGGATAACAAGCCATGTCCTAAAGCTCAAATCATCTTAAACTGGTTTCTTGAATGTGACAAATAGTTCACTATACTCAAATGGAAAAATAGCTTATATATATGGCATATATACAGTGCTTAACAAATTTATAAGACCACCACCGAATGTAAGGTTTGTGCCACAGCTGCCCTAAACTAACATTATTTGGTGATTACCAAATAATTTTTTTATGTTTCTGTAATGTGTAATAAGTATGTGTAAGCTCTTTAGTCACAGTAGTATTTCTAATGCTAAAATATAATTGTAGTTATCCATACATTTTCAAATTTACTGTTTTACTAGAAAGGCAGAAAAAATAGTAAAGCATTTTCTTTATAAGTTTTTTTTATTCAAAAGCCCATTTATTTACTTGCAGTACTTAATAGAAAAATAAGTTTTAATGGTTGAATGTTATGCTTGATTTATTTCTGACTTCTGAGAGAAGCTGAATATGCCAGCTCAAATTTGGGTATAAAAACGTGAACTCATAAAGACTATTATTTAGTTGTTTCAGTTTTTGATTTGCCTATTTAATGACAATAAAAAAATTAGTTTTAAATAAGTTTCTGACAGATTCCTAAAATATTTGTGTTTTCTCTTATGACAGGTGGTCTAACAAATTTAAGCACTGTTAATGGCATATGTGTGTGTGTGTGCATTTGAAATATATTTAATAATCTGGTAAATTAAATACTTCAGAAGTGTAACAATTTATTTTTGTCATTTTATATGGAACTTAATGTATGCACACAAAATACGATTATTCATAACAACTGAATAAATCTGGAATCAAAACCAAAACATCTGCTTCAGATTTTTCTTTTTTAGCACTTGTGTTTAAAACCTTCTAAAAACAGTGATACATTCTAACACATTGTTGAGGCTCAAACAAGAAGATGGTGCCAGCAACACCATGGTCATAGGTTTGATTTCTGGGAAATGCATGAACTGATCAAACATATATTTTAATTGCAATGTCAATGTCACTAACTAGGATTGCATGATTTAAAATTTGAAGCTGTTGTAAAATAGGTGATAAAAACAGCCGTGATAGTGTGAACACACATCGGTTGAATTCTATATTAAGGCAGCATGTTATGATATTGTATGCAAGCTTTAAGCAACCTACAATTACACAGTATTCACAACTTATGTAATAAACATGAAATAACTAAAATCAAGTTGTCTATGCTGGAAACTTTACAATTTTATATGTATAAACATAATAGCAGAGTGTCTTCTGGTTGACATTTCTAAAATCACACAGTAGTAAGCGTTCTGGCTTTTGTATGTTTGTCTTACACAAGACACTGAGGGGCTGCTCTGTCCTCTTGTCTCCATTGGCAATGGACGGGTGATCCACTGCACAGGTGATCAGAGCGTTGTTATCGTTTCTGGTGACAGTGAGGGTGAGCTCGCTGGTTACTGTGTAGGTCGGTTCATCAGGGTTGGACTCCACAACATCAGGACGCCCTACACACGCACAAACACAAAGTAAACACTGTAATTACTGAACAACAACAGTTTGGGTTCAGAGCAGAATTCTGACTTGAATGTGTGTGTGTGTTTGTACCTTGTATCTCCTCTTGATCGCGGTACCAGTGTAGTTTAGCAGGAGGTTTGCTGCCTGAACTCGTGCAGGTGAGAGTGACCTTGCCGCCCTCCTCAACAGCATCATCAAAACCTGTTATCACCGGCTTACCTGGAACACCTGTGAGAGAGAAACAGTTGTAAAATAAAAACAAAACATTTTCAAGTGCAGTTTAAGGGAAATAAGGGCATCGCTGGCTAGATAAAATGTAAATAAAATAAAAACAGTTCTGCTTCTGACTTGAATGTGTGTGTGTGTTTGTACCTTGTATCTCCTCTTGATCGCGGTACCAGTGTAGTTTAGCAGGAGGTTTGCTGCCTGAACTCGTGCAGGTGAGAGTGACCTTGCCGCCCTCCTCAACAGCATCATCAAAACCTGTTATCACCGGCTTACCTGGAACACCTGTGAGAGAGAAAATAAAGTTGTAAAATAAAAACAAAACATTTTCAAGTGCAGTTTAAGGGAAATAAGGGCATCGCTGGCTAGATAAAATGTAAATAAAATAAAAACAGTTCTGTTCCCTAAGCAGCGGCTCACTATCAGCAACTAGCTACTTGTTAGTAGGCCTACACGGAATTTGCACCGAATGAAATCTGCTCTGTAGACTTCTACAGAATTAAATCGTCCATCATTCGCACCCCCCGCCCCTCGCATGTTCTTTTATATAATAATTTGGCAAATTGTAAATTTTTAGCTGCCAAAAAGAGTACAGTACTTTCAGCTCCGTTTAACACATTTTACCGTATTTAAATCAATTACGCAGATTTTCCCCCAAACCAGGTACAGAAAATGTGGAGAAGTGTGCAGGTTCCGCGTGGGCCTGGTCACATCAAACATGCTTACCAGGAGCGGCTGGTGCTTTCAAAAGAGGTGAAGCACAGATGTCAGTTATCAACGACAAAATGTGTAACTGGATATTTAATGATTTTGGTGTGGCTCCCAAAATCAGCTGCTAGCAAATATCACAAGACTGTGCACTGCAAAATAATGTCAAGAAACCATTGAGTTGTCCTCTTGAGCTACACACAAAAATACATGACCATCATACAGCATGACCAGTGTTGGAAAGAAACTAGTCACATGTAACAGAGTTACACAATTTATTTACAAAATAAATAAATGTAACTGTAATGAAAATGTAAATGTTACTGAGAAAAAAATGTGTAATTAAATTAAAATGTTAACGATTTCAAAGGGGGTTATCTGAATATTTCCACACACATACAGATTTAACTGATTTCTTTCCAAAAAAAAATGCATTGACTGCTCTAAAATATGAGACACTGATGTTTCAGGAGTTTAGGACACAGAATAGGACACATGCTTATTCGATAACTGTTTTATTTTCTATTTGGGTTTATGTACAGGTATATGCTTTATTTTTTTAAGATTGACTGTTTTTTTCAAGGCATTGTTAGATGCCAGTGTTTCCTGTCATAGCTATGCAAATATTTAAAATCAGTATTTAACCTCGGAACAATCTCAAAGTAAAAAAGAGGTGCTAAAGTCTGATTTTGTGGTGGCTTAATCTTCAAGTGATGAAGAATTTTGAAAGTCTGACAGTAATCAGTGTTGAGCACTTCTGTAAGTTTAACCCTGCCTGGTTTACATGTCTGAAAATGAATAACAGTTGAAAACATTAATTAGAAAAAGTAATCAAATGTAATCAGTTACTTTAATAAAGTAATTGGAATAGTTACACTACTTATTACATTTTAAATAGTGTAACGTGTAGTCTGTAACCTATTACATTTCCAGTAACCTTTCCAACACTGAGCATGACCAGTGTAGTCTGACTCATAAGCAAATTATTTAAATTTACATGAATCAATTAAAAAAAAAACTCAGGAGTTATTGGTTTGAATCAGGCTGACGAATTTTTCACTATATGAACTCACTGATAGATAGACGGACAGACAGACAGACAGATAGACAGACAGATAGACAGATAGATGTTTCAAAAAGAAAAGATTGTTTAAAAATGGCAATGTTAAATAACAAGATTCTAAACTTATTTAAATATTTTACAACAGCAACTATGTCTGTCTTCCGGCTGTGTTTGATTGAATGTTTTAATTTTCTAATGGTGTCAGATGCACCACCATTTCAATGATTTAACATTTGTGGCTAAAACACCACTTTGAGAGCTTTCATAAACATTAATAGAAAAAGCCTTGCTTTCAGATGGCACAAAATATATTAATTGAAAGGCCATTAAACAAACAGATTTTTTTCTCATGCTAAAGGCACCCATGATAGTCTCATTGACTTTCAGTGAAATACGAGAAGAGGAATGAGGAATACGCTAAATATAGGGTTAATTCAGGATGACTGGGCCATTTTTTCCCCAGTCATCTTAATGGCTAAGTGCCTCAATTCACCCAAATTCACCCTATATCAATAGCAATTTCCACTGATTCCTAATACCCTGACTCAAAATGCAAACTCACACATACATACCCAGTACAGTAACTGTGGCTCGTGCAGTCCGTACAGGCATGGTGAAAATTGAACAGGTGTACTCTCCATCATCTGACAGCTGAACATCCGAGATGGTGATTATCAGCTCTGTGGCTGTGGACTTTACCAACTGAATACGGTTATCTCTCAGTGCTGAAAAAGACAGAGCAGATAAGAATAACACATACACTACATAGGTGTCATATACTACAATTTTTAGCATTTTATTTTCCCCCCCGAAGTCCACTGATAACGTTAGTCAAGGTGTCTGGCACCAAAACCATTGTGATTTAGATTTATGTGATTACTTTCCACCATCTCTCCAACTCTTCCATTTTTTTGCTATATCAGGCTTGTTTTTTGTAGTTAAAAAAGCACAAGCAATCTTATGTGTACAAACCTGATTCACACTACGGTCATTTGAAATCTAGTTAAATTATGATTTTTTTATTAGTCTAAAAGGTCACTAATTTTCGCTTACTCCTTCCTCGTCTAGCAAACCATGTGGCGGTTACTATCTCACGAATAGTGAACTAAGTATAAAAGGTCAGATCAGATTTCAAAGACGTTGTTTGCCCGTTATTTAGAATCAAGTGTTGAACATCATACAGAATGTGCAATATCGTCTGAATACATTAATTTTTTCGCTTACTCTTTCCTCATCTAACAACCCATGTGGCGTTCACTATGTCGTGAATAGTGAGCGAGTCAGCAGTTTTGGACCCAGTATACTGTATGCATGAATGTGTAAAATGGCTCTGTTCTCTTACAGATCTTGTGAGTTCAGCACCACAGCGGGATGACAGACATGAGTAAAGGCAAAGTTTTCAGTTTTCTGTGCTCTCTTTCCAGTGACAGCTACTCTCCGTTGTAGTATGCGAAAGTCTCTTGGCATTGTGCTGATTCTGACATTATTACTATAGAAACCCATGTAGATACACTGGATATTGACTACACAGACTTGCAGACAAAATGACAGAGTAGACAGTCAGTCCTCAGATTAGGTTTGTGTGCAACCAAGCCTTGGAAATTACCAATATGCACATTAAGGAATTCCGTATGTAAAAGACCTCTGTTCTGATTGGCTAGAACTGTTGTTTATGATCAGAGCAAGGTAAGCGATGAACAATTTTATATAAAAAGGTAAAACAATTCCATTAAAAATAAGCTAGAATTTAAAAAATAAAGCATGTCTGTAAGCTTTAAGTTCATCTATATGTTAATGTAGTACTAATTGTTCACTTTAACAGATTTACACATTTAAATACAGCCTTTCTCTTGTTCTCTTATATGCTATAATAGTATTTATTAATATTTAATTTAATTTAATTTTATGTTCTATTTTCATTTTTATTTAGGTAATTTCCTATCTTTTTAAGTTTTACAGATTTAAAAAAAAAAATTGTTATTAGCTTAGTTTTTTTAAATTTTTTTATTTCTATTAAGATTTCATTTTTATTTCAGTTCATTTTTAGTAATTTTAGTACTTAGACAAACATTTTTATTTCAAAACATTTCTAAGTTTTTCATCTAACATTTATATTTTGCTTTGTTTCAGCTTAATTTCAATTAAAAAAAAAACAATAGTGTTAGTTAACAATAACAATTTCTCTTCCAGCAAAATGGAGCAAAAATATTGATGGCTCATCCTGCACTACTCCGATTTTTATCCAATCATGTGCTCTGTAAAATAAGCCCCTCCCCCCATCACTGGCATGTCTGACCAAACAGACTGGCAGAGAACAGGAAAACCTGTTTGAAAAGTTATTATTTTTGCTAATGGTGCAGAAATTACACACTTCACCTTTGAACAAAAGGAGAACTGTCTAATACAGATTTACAGTAAATGTGTGTGTGCTTCATGGTTTATCAGTAAGTGAAGGGCACTTAATTTGTCTTCATCAGCTGCTGTTCCTCTGTCCTCCATCCTGCTCTTTCATGCGCACACTCCTCCTTTGTCATTCCACCCTTTATCTTTTTTCGCTCATCCACCCATCCATCGTTTCTCCACACTAATCTGTTCATCTCTTCTCACTGGTGCGTCTCGCGTTCTCCTTTTAGTGTGCTCTCTCTCTCTCTTTTGTAGACTACAAAAACACATTTTTTTAAACAGTATTTTGATTTTCTTTTGCAAATATCTAAACATCCTTCAAACAAGATAAATTTACTTGAGAAGCAGATAATGAGATTTGTGTTCAGGGAATATATCTTGAATCGAGTTTATATCTTACCCAATTTGTTTTAGCTGGATTTATACTTAAAGAAATAGAGTAAGAAAAATTCTTCATTGGAAATTTTTGTAAACATCTTTGATCCACATTAAAAAGTCCCTTTAAAATATAAATTTATGTAGCTTTAAAGGGTTAGTTCACCCAAAAATGAAAATTAGCCCATAAATTACTTACCCTCAAGTCATCCTAGGTGTATATGACTTTCTTCTTTCAGACAAATCCAGTCGGAGGTATATTAAAAATTGTCTTTGATCTTTCAAGCTGTTTAATGCCACTCAGCGGGTGTTGCATGCTTCAGTCCAAAAGAAGTTAAATAAAAAGCTCTCATCCATAAAAAAGTGTCTCACACGGCTCCGGGGGGTGAACAAAGGCCTCCTGTAGCGAATCGATGCGTTTTTGTAAGAAAAATATCCATATTCAAAACGTAATAATCACTTTAATGCAGCTTGCGCTCACTGTTGTACACGGAAGCAGTTCCAGGTGGATGACATATGAGGTCAGCTTTTGCGCTGCTCAGAAGTGACGAACGCGGAAGCGCAGGAGAGAGATCAAAACAAAACAACGGTCACTTATTAGAAGTACAAAAGGAGGATTTGTAAAGAAGAATGTCGGAGGATTTTGATATAAGTCAAGAGGAGACTGGTTTTCCTTTGCTAAAGTAAGGAAACTTTGCTTCCTTTGCTCCTGTTTACAAACGTTGGTTTTCATGAGACTCACTGGCGCATGCGCAACGCTGACCTCATACGTCATCTGCCTGGAACTGCTTCCGTGTACAACAGTGAGTGCAAGCTGCATTAAAGTGATTATTACATTTTGAATATGGATATTTTTCTTACAAAAATGCATCGATTCGCTACAGAAGGCCTTTGTTCACCCCCCGGAGCCGTGTAAGACACTTTTTTTTAATGGATGGGAGCTTTTTATTTAACTTCTTTTGGACGGACGCATGCAACACCCGCTGAGTGGCATTAAACAGCTTGAAAGATCAAAGACCATTTTTAATATACTTCCGACTGGATTCGTCTGAAAGAAGAAAGTCATGGACACCTAGGATGACTTGAGGGTGAGTAATTTATGGGCTAATTTTCATTTTTGGATGAACTAACCCTTTTAGGGTGTTTTTTGTGTGTGAAAACAAGAAAAAATTGATTAAAAAAGTGATTTTTTTCAAGTCCATCTGTGAGACTGTATTTCTCTCCTACTTTCTTTTAACACTCCTTCCTTCTCGTTCAATAGACTGTTGTCTATTTCTGCTTCTTCATGGTGCTCTCTTGTCGCCTTCTTTTGTTTTCCTCTTTAATCAGGTCACCCCTCTATTCTCTCTCTGTCTTTCTCTCTCCATCACCTCGGCTTTTGTTATCACAGAGCCACCTGTTTGTTTTTAGGGTGATATTAATGTTTTAGAAAGGTGTTTTGAATATGGATATTTTTCTTACAAAAATGCATCGATTCGCTACAGAAGGCCTTTGTTCACCCCCCGGAGCCGTGTAAGACACTTTTTTTTAATGGATGGGAGCTTTTTATTTAACTTCTTTTGGACGGACGCATGCAACACCCGCTGAGTGGCATTAAACAGCTTGAAAGATCAAAGACCATTTTTAATATACTTCCGACTGGATTCGTCTGAAAGAAGAAAGTCATGGACACCTAGGATGACTTGAGGGTGAGTAATTTATGGGCTAATTTTCATTTTTGGATGAACTAACCCTTTTAGGGTGTTTTTTGTGTGTGAAAACAAGAAAAAATTGATTAAAAAAGTGATTTTTTTCAAGTCCATCTGTGAGACTGTATTTCTCTCCTATTTTCTTTTAACACTCCTTCCTTCTCGTTCAATAGACTGTTGTCTATTTCTGCTTCTTCATGGTGCTCTCTTGTCGCCTTCTTTTGTTTTCCTCTTTAATCAGGTCACCCCTCTATTCTCTCTCTGTCTTTCTCTCTCCATCACCTCGCCTTTTGTTATCCCAGAGCCACCTGTTTGTTTTTAGGGTGATATTAATGTTTTAGAAAGGTGTTCTTTCAAATTTTGGATGGATAAAAGGCCTACAACAAGTAGGTCAACTACACTTAAATCAAAACACGATATGGACTAGTGTCTATGAATATTAAACCGCAAAAATACCATTTACATATGAATCCTGCATGTTCTGCGCATCTCTGTGTGAATGAACGGCACAGACGTGCGGGAGTGAAGCGTGACACTCCCGGTGTTTTTTAGCCTCTGCCGCCTCAATATATGAACACATGAACATAATCTCTAGAACTGCTCAGAGAGTCACTTTATGAGCATTTGACCATTTCTTTTGAGAAAAACATCATATCATATACTAACAGAACCCTAAAGGTCTTTACAGCAACCCGTCAAAATAAAAGTTCGGTTTAACTTAAAGAAACCATGACAGAAAATTTACTTAATGTAATGATAGTACTACTACTATTAATAAAATTATTATTAAAACATTGTTTTTAAAGGAATATTTACCAGAAAAAATTTCCAGAATTTATTTAGCAGAAAAAATTTAAATACACAACACAGTATTTCTGAGAAAAAAGAAAGAAAATAATAAATTATTTGTTTATAAAATCAGTTAATTAGAAATGTTTTTGATTATTAATATTAAATGAAAATTAAAATGGAAATGTGTGTATAAAGGGCAGATGTAATGCCAATGTGAGTCTAGCTGTATGATAATTCCGCCCTGGGCGGCCCATGCTCCACTTTACCCAATAATTACCACTTAGGTTATAATCGATGACCTTTTTAATGCTGACCAGTGCTGAATGAACTCTAGGCAAAGCACTGTCTGAATGTTATACGCTAATGCCAGCTTGAAAGGAGCGCTAATGTTTAGTGAATGCTGGGCAAATGTTGGCTTGGCAATAGCCAAGCTCTGGACTCAAAGAGATTAAACACAGGGCAAAACTTGGCTGAATGTTGGGCATATGCTGGCTGAATGATGGGGCAAATATTGCTAATTGCAAGGCTAACATTGGCTGAGTGCTGAGTTAAACTTGGCCCGACGTTGAAATCGCACTAGCCTAATGATTTTTGTCAATCTCAATCTTGGATTGATTCAGGCTAAACGCTGGCTTAATTCTAGCCTGATGTTTTGCTAGCACTGGCGATTAACCTACTGAATTGCAGGCCAAATGCTGGCTTTCCACAGGCAAATATGTGGGACATACGCAGGTGCACTGGGCGTGCATGAAGCCGGGCCGAACTCAGCCTGATTAGCCTAAAAGGCTTTAACGAGATGCTGCTTTTAAAAATAGAGCTTGAGCAGAAAGCATGAG